AAAAAATGAAGTAAGCTTTATGAGACATCTTTTTGAGTGCGGACCCATCAAACTTTTTTGCTTATCTGAATTCACGGGTTTTACACACCAACCATACTTCTAGGAGAGCGCGATGGTCCCCTTTTTATTAAATTAATTATACATGGTATGTGGTGTGGATTTCAAGAAGACGATGGAGAGATGCTCAGCTATATAGAATGAATAAATACTGATAATTTATGAGAGTTAGTGGAAATGTGGTCATAATTTGTGCTCAAGGGGTAAGCCTACAGATTCCCATCTTTCAATAATAAACTGCTTTTAATTAGATCAGTTAGAGGTATTGTAGCTGTTGCCAAATAACGACATTAACATATATTGCTAATGTGATGAGTGTGATGGAAGGAGTCAGGTGCAGGAGGGTAATCACTGAATACAGAGTTTATTCCTTCGTTACACAAAATACGCTGGAATAGCGACAAACGAAACAGGCACAGGGGAAACTATCTACCCTGGCAATACACTGTAACGGTATCTCCATACAATACATAGGCACAGGTGAAATATCTACCCTGGCAACAAAATGGTACGAGTAGCTCCACCGAGCTACACTACTCTCACATTCAAACAATCACCCACAAGGACAAGGGGGCAGAGGGAACACTTATACACAGACTAATGAGGGGATCAGAACCAGGTGTGTGTGATTGACAAGACAAGACAAATGTGATGATGATAATTGGGGCGGCAGTGGTTAGTAGGCTGGTGACGACGAATGCCGAAGCCTGCCCGAACAAGGAGGGGAGGCAGCCTTGGCAGAAGTCGTGACAGCTAAGAATGTGAGAGTAGTGTGACTCCCATAGAGGGTCTTAAACCCAGGCCACCAGCACCAATGACAAACGCCCTAACCACTGTCCCAATAAGGGATATCCCTATGTGCTTACTGCTTATTTGATTTATTGGGCCAGTATAGTTAGGCCCTGTCCAGAAGCAAAACCTAACCTCTCTCCCTAGGCACTTGTGGAGATCTAAAACAACTGGATAGCTGTAAACAATAGGTTGAATGCACTTTAAAGTAAATCTCAGCTCTGTTAAAAGTAGACTCACATTAGACCACTATACAGAAAGCCCTCAAATTGCTAAAATAAGTAAATCAAATCAATGATGAGAGAATAGTCAGATTAACTGCTAACTGACACAGACATGGTGGTGTAGCAGAAACATCAGAATGCCGTGAACCAAGAGGTTGTGAGTTTAAATCCCAGGTGAGGACATGCTGAATAATAATTACTGCATAAATTGACATGCACAATGTCATCATAGTGTGTCAATATGTAAGTTAAAAGCACTGTGTGTCCCTAAACTTGCCAAAAAACAAAGATCTGTGAATGGATTAGTGGTTCACCAATCAGGGCCTTGATGGGCTCGGCAACAGTAATAGGGTGTGATGTCTAAGTTAAAAAATATTTCTGGAGGACGTGTCTTTGGGACCACCAGGTGACGTCCTGACAACTGATACACTGCAACGTTCCCATGAAACGTGTCTAGAACATTAATATATTGGCAACCATGTTCTGTGTGGTGCGATGTTGATAGAATATTCTCCTAACTCTCAGAAAACGACACAGGAATGTCCTTGCAGCATTCCCTTGAAACATGTCTAGAACATTAATATTGTATATTCTAAGAACATGGCAACCATGTTCTGTTTATTTTTGGTGGGACGTTGATGGAATATTCTCCTAACCCTCAGAAAACTGGACACAGGAATGATCTTGCAATGTTCCAATGAAACGTGTCTACAACATTAATAAGGGATATTCTGTGAACATGGCAACCGCGTTCTGGGTAAGTTCTGTTAGACATTTAGGGAATGTTCTCCTAACTCTAACCCCAAAACATGCAAGCATACATAGAATATTCCCCCAACTAACTAATGGAAAACTGGACACTCAAACTTCTGGACTTTACAAAAATGTTCTCTCTCCCTAGAATTGTTAGCTGGGTGTCTTTCAGAACTGTTGGAGAGCTAAATGACAACAATGTAAGTATTTTGTCTTAGGATAGAGTTGATTACCGGGACGTCAAACTCAGTGCATTATAGCTGATGGTAGGAGCATCTTGCTCTGATGCTCTGTAACAATCCAAACAACCCCAAAAAGTATAATAGCCTTACACTCACATGGATATCAGGCATTCAAGCTATCACAACTAATTATATCACCATAGTAATGTTTATTTTGACATCATGTATGGTTACCACTACCATGTAGCATAAGGTTGAATTTTATTTTTTTACTCAGTCTCCTAAAACAGGATATCTGAAATAATACATTTCCCAGAATGCATTACATCAAACACTGCAGTATGGAAGGGAACAATCTAACATCTCATGACAAAGAAAAATACTGTTTGAGTTATCTTTGAGTTGTAATCAAACACATTTTTGAAATGGTATGTGTATTCTATGTATTAATAAGTGGTATATCCTTTTGATAAAATATTTATGAAATTAATGAGACTTTCATGTTTCACTTCTCAGTTGAAAAGGTTTTAAGTGGTTTTAATTAAATTATACTTCCTTCCATTCAAATTCAATTTAAATTATGCTTCCTTTGAGGTGTTGCCAATTCAAATTAAATTAGTATTCATTTTTTGGGTCAATTCGGAATTTCTGAATGTAATTATATTTAAACAATGAATTTGAATTGAATTTGAATTGGCCACACCCCACAGGTGTGTAAATTGGCCCCTGATGATATCAAAGCAGGACAGAACTTACAGTGTGCATTGTTCCATGAAACGTCATAACCATATTTTAGCCACTCTTTGTGTCACAAGTTACAGTCAGTGAACAGGGTTTAGAGGCCTAGAAAACATTGGCCTAATGAAACACTGAGTGTAGTGCATATTATAACATTCAATCTAACTAACTAAAATGACCAATTCAAAATGATTGAACTAATTTCATACAACATTACAAATAAAGAGATACAAAAGAGTTAAATACATATTTTTTTAAGAATGTAACTCAGGGTTTCCCAAACTCGGTCCTGGGGCCCCTTCTGGGTGCACGTTTTGGTTGTTGCCCTAGCACTACACAGCCGATTCAAATAACCAACTCATCATCAAGCTTTGATCATTTTAATAAGCTGTGTAGTGCTAGGGCAAAAACCAAAACGTGCACCCATTGGGGTCTAGGACCGAATTATGGTGGTGTAGTGTGACATCATTTATAGTCAATCACACTCAGCAAGATAAGTGTCCTGCAAGATCCTATAGTGTCCACCAGAAGGCGGTGTCATTATTGATTTGCGATCCAAATTGAAAAAGGTGTCTTGGACAGGAGTTGAGAATCGGACCTGGCATATTCTGCTGGCTGGATAAAAATAAGAAATACCTTGAGCAATAATGGAAATCTGACAGAATACTTAGCTATAATAATACTATACTATAATACTAATAGACATAGTGAGTATATATGAATGACCAATAATGACTAAAGAAGACTTAGACTAATTAGGCCTGAATGGAAAAATGGTTCTAATAAATCAAACAAAGAATATGAGAAACATATGCAATAACATGAAACTTTATGAAAAGCCAATATTAGAAAATAAAGAAAAGTAGACCAGTGTCAAAAGTATATCCATGATTTCTTTGCTGCTGAACAGGGTTATTAGGCTAAAAGTCATGCTATTTAAAACCCAATTGTTTTAGCATCATATCTGGTCCTCTGGGATCAAAATGATCTCATTATGAAGATTCTGACAGAGAGTGGGTTATGCAATCTATTCAATTTAGGAAATTAGTAATGAGGGTCAAGGTGGTTTCCTTTTACAGAATATAAAGCAATTAATCCGTCTTAAGCCCTTTGGACAAATTCTACACTTTGGGACAGGAATAAGACACAGCGGGATATATCATATTATGCCAGAACAGTACCGGTCAGTTCTACTCTGTAAACTCTATTGAGAATGACAATATACTTTGTATTTATTGAGAATTACATTATTGGTTTACTATTTGCTGATAGTCAACAAAAAACCTAGCCTGTAAAGGACTTTAAATTCCACAGGAAGGTTCACATGTGATATTTGACACCAATATTACATAAACCTTATATTTTCCAATAATATTGTTGATCTGTTCTCTTTGCACAAATAAATGCAAATAATGAACCAGTAATCTCTCAGAGGTAAGACAAATCTTGAGAAATAGATCACAGTCTAATATTTAAATGCTGACTGGCACTTTCTTCACCTCAAAAACATCAGGATCATAATATCTATTCCTTACAGTAACCCCTCTGGAAAGCTCTCCACCTCTCCCGTCTCTCCCGTCTCTCCCGTCTCTCCCTCTCCCCCTCTTTTTTTGTGTGTTTTCACTACCACTCCCCGTTTCCTTCACCCTAGGCGGATCTCTGGCCTCGTGTCCAAGAGAAACATAATTCTGACTCTGACCTTCCTGCCAACCCCCCCCCCCACACACACACACACATACACTCTTAGATTGTCCTTTACCCCATAGTGAATTGCTGAGCTGTTTAAAAGGTGCACAGGTACTTGACTCATCCAATCCAAGCTTACTCTGCATGTGTGGGGGCAGGGACCCTGTGGGCTGCTGGTGCTTAGAGACAGTTGTGAAACTCTTAGCTGCTGGCACTGACCTACAGTGTCTGTAGGTGGGAGAGTCTACACTGCAGCCTGGATACACATAGCTTGACAACAACAGAGAGAGAGAGAGATTTCACTTTTGTTTACTATCTACTTCCCTTGCTTTGGCAATGTTAACACACGTTTCCCATGCCAATAAAGCCCTTAAATTGAAATTGAAATTGAAATTGAGAGAGAGAGAGAGAGCGAGAGAGAGAGAGAGAGAGAGAGAGAGAGAGAGAGAGAGAGAGAGAGAGAGAGAGAGAGAGAGAGAGAGAGAGAGAGAGAGAGAGAGAGAGAAGATAGAGGGAGGGACTTCCAAGGAAGGGATAGTGCTTTAAGGACCCTCACTCTCTCCTATTTGATGGACTGCGCACCCCCTTCATCAGTATTTGGAGCTGAACCGCTGTACCAGCACATACTGCAGCACCTCACTGAAGACAGGCTCTCACAGTCACTGGCATCTGACAGACTACCCTCCCTACCTCACAAAGAAAGGAAGGAATAAAACAAAAAGAAGACATAAGAACAAAAGCCAGAGACTGAGTCTGACTTCAAATCAAAGCCAGTGTGTTAAGTAAGAAGACTTGTTCCGTACTTCCACAGCCATGGCAGACAGTGTGATTGAGGAGTCTGACTACTACCCTGGGAAAGATGAATTGGACTGGGGATATCAAGAAGGTAAGGTTTTACTATACACTTTGTTTCCTTTCACTATTTTTCTCGCACAAAACAGAGCTTAGAAAAATAACATGTTCTTTCCCATTTTGGCACCAAACACAATGCATGCATTGATATGGAAATACAGTACTTTCTTCATAGATATAAACAGAAAAATACAAATCTCTCTGTCTCTTTCTCTCTCTCTCTCTTTCTCTCTTCTCTCTCTTTCTCTCTCTTTCTCTCTCTTTCTCTCTCTCTCTCTCGCACATACAGTAGGTAAAGAACCCAAAGAAGGTAGGGTCATTATTGGGGTAACTTGATCATGCAAATTAGCTGTCTAGAACTGAATTTGAGATTCATGAGTCACACCAATGATTTAGTATTCTAAGAGAGTAGTGGTCTAGCTACCATGCTTTCATGATTCTGAGCTTTTACCAGCTCATGTCCAGGGCTCCATTGTGTGCATTGTATGTCTCAAATTTGCCTCTGGGCTCTTAGGGTAATAGTCAAGGTTTCCAGTAACTGGGAAAAGAACATGAGAGATTGTAAAATCTAAGTCAAGAGCTATCCTTTTAGTAACTCTAATCAAAATCTAGTAAAAGTTGTGTCTAGTCATATTATTATTGGTGTTGACTTGAGATAGAAATATATATATTGTTGGTATGGGATAAAGTCATCCATACACTAAAGGAGGAGAGAGGACTTGTCTGTAGCGCTAACTAACTTAGCCACATTAGCTGCTTCATTTACTAACTCCTGGCTTTGCTTCAGAAAGCTTGTTTTTTCCGCACATGTTTTTGTGTTATGTGCTCCCTCTGCAATTCAAAGCCATGGTTTCATCATCTTAATTACAAGGCTAAGTAAGTGTGTGTGAGGTCAGACACTTCAGAGTGGGTCTGTATTTAGATTGGGTCAGTGATGTATGAAGGGAGAGCATTTATCCAGTTTATGTCCCCCATCATGGGACTAGAGGGAGAGACACTGTAGAAGGGTGTGTCCCTGACAGATTGTATATCAAATCTGATTTGATGAATTGCGTTTTGCACTCTCTCTGCACGTACAGCACAGTGATAAATGACTATGAAATAATTCAGGGCATGGTATGGAAAGACCAGAGACCTAAGACAGCTAGCTAACAGAGTGTGCTTACAGAGTGTGAAAAGATGTGAGACAATGATAATGAGGATATTTTCACAAACCATTTACACACAGAATGGAGAGATGTGGGATTAACAGTGTGTGAAAAATAGAGGGGGGAAAGGGAGGTATAGACAGAGAGTAAGAGACAAAAGAGAGAGAGAACGTGTGAGAGGTGGTAAGAAACAAGAACTAGAACGTCCTTGAATCCTGGTGACAGTTATTCTTGGTACCGACTCCCCAAGTGCTCAGCGTAGTGACACTGAGGGATTGGCGTACTCTTTAACTCCAGTGTGTGTGGTGTGTGTGTGCATGCGTGTGTCTGTGAGAGTGTGCATGCGTGCGTGTGTGTGTGTGTGTGCATATGCACACATTTGTGTGTCCTCAGTTATACACTTTGTTTATGCTGCTTGTGTATTCAAAGGCTGGATTTACACTCCACTAGACATACTCCGTCACCACGCTGTGACTTCACCACGCACCGCATGGAGACCTCTGCATGGAGATCTCAGTGCATGCCAGTGCCCAGAGGTTGTCACTTTACGCAAGCGTCAGTGACGTTGAGTGTCAGGCTAAGTTGTGTGTGTTTTCAGGTGTAGAGTGGGGTTTGCTGTTCCCTGATGCTAATGGGGAGTACCAGTCACCCATCAACCTGAACTCCCGGGAGGCGCGTTATGACCCCTTGCTCCTGGATGTGGGGCTCACACCCAATTACGTGGTGTGTCGGGACTGTGAGGTCATCAACGATGGACACACCGTACGCATCATGCTGAGGTCCAAATCAGGTGCAGACACACATCCCAAAAGTTTATATAACATTGCCATGGTACACATAAAAACAATTAATGGGTTCAATTTATGAAAAACCCTCCACAATAGTGATGATCTTGAATGCACTTTTTCAATGATCTTACATTAGCTGTGACCACTGAAAGTTGAGTCAATGACTGTGTGCTGCATGGGAAATACAGATACACTTCAGAGTTTAATCAGAATTCAAACCTACATTCAAAACCCCAGATCATCTGATGTGGTCTGCATTTCCTGTGTCTGCTCTCCCATGATGCTCTGGGTTTCCTGTCTGCAGTGGTAACTGGCGGCCCATTGCCAAGTGATCATGAGTACGAGCTGCATGAGGTGCGCTTCCACTGGGGCAAAGAGAACCAGCGGGGCTCAGAACACACTGTCAACTTTAAGGCCTTCCCCATGGAGGTATGGGTCTCGGCCAAACACACACATGCGGGCCATCAAGAAAGCGTGCACACACACACACACGCATACACACACACACTGTCCGCTTCAAGGCCCTGACCATGTTTATCTAAGTTAGAGGCCACTGTTACAGTACTCAGAAAGAGGGACTTGTTATGTTCACATAAAAACAGGTTATTTTGGGTCAGGGCTTTAAAAGCTCATTACTTTGTTTCATATATTTGCACATCACTCAGGCCATTGACGCGTTTGAAAGGGCCTGAAGAGGCTATGCCACTGGTGGTTTGGCTTTATAAGCTTCATTCTCTATTTAAGGTGCTTGGTGCTCTATTTAAAACTGTAGAGTGCACTAATGTCCCTTACACCTGCTCTGTCTCGGCCCTGTCTTCTGCAGCCTACCTCTGTCCATCATTCTTTCATTTTCTTTCCTTCTTTCTTTCTTTCTTTCTTTCTTTCTTTCTTTCTTTCTTTCTTTCTTTCTTTCTTTCTTTCTTTCTTTCTTTCTTTCTTTCTTTCTTTCTTTCTTTCTTTCTTTCTTTCTTTCTCTGAATATCATATGTGATCGGCTTCACTATAATATGGTACAATACAATACATGTGCTTCCCCCCCAGCTCCATCTGATCCACTGGAACACAACCCTGTTCAACAGTGTGGAGGAAGCCCTGGGTAAGAAGAACGGAGTTCTCATCATCGCTCTGTTTGTGCAGGTATTGATTGCTTTGGTCTCACTCTAAAGTCATATGAGAATCCCCTCTTCTCATGGTCTGTATGGTTCTGTTAGGCACTTTCCAACTTGGTTTGTTATTACTGTAATTTATATCATATCATATTCATATCAACTTTGACACTAAAGATTTGACACTAAACATATCTTTTTTTAATTGTACTGAGAAAAACCACCACATTGAAATAACCAAGATAACATTTGACTGAAGTGAACTGCCTTGAGGTAATGACTGAATATATGAATGGACAAACACTTAGTGGTGTGAAGTACGTAAGTCGTTTTGGGGGGTATCTGTACTTTACTTTACTATTTATATTTTTGACAACTTTACTTTAACTTCACTACATTCCTTAAGAAAATATGTACTTTTTACTCCCATACATTTCTCTGACACCCAAAGGTACTTGTTACACTTTGAATGCTTAGTTGGACAGGAAAATTGTTTAATTCACACTTATCAAGAGAACACGTGGTCATCCCTACTGCCTCTGATCAGGCGGACTTACTAAACACAAATGCTTTGTTTGTGAATGAGGTCTGAGTGTTGGAGTGTACCCATGGCTATCCGTAAATAAATAAATAAAATACAATTGTGCAGTCTGGTTTGTTTAAAGGGATACTTCGGGATTTTGGCAATGAAGCCCTTTATCTTCTTCCCCAGAGTCAGATTAACTTGTGAATACCATTTTTATTTCTCTGCGAGCGATTTGAAGGAAGTTGCTAACTGGCGCTAGCACAATTGCTAACTAGTGTTAGCACAATGACTGGAAGTCTATGGGTATCTGCTAGCTAGCAGATACCCATAGACTTACAGTCATTGTGCTAATGTTAGTTAGCATTGGTTCGTGAAACTAACTTGACCTTCCTTCATACAGGACACAGAGACATAGAAATGGTAACCACAAGTTCATCTGACTCTGGGGAAGTAGATAAAGGGTCTCATTGCCAAAATCTCAAAGTATCCCTTTAATATAAGGAATTTGAAAGTATTTATTGCATTTACTTTTACTTTTGATACTTAATGATATTTTAGCATTGAGTTTTGCTTTTAAAAAGTATATTTAAAGCCAGATACTTTTAGACTTTTACTGAAGTAGTATTTTACTGGGTTAATTTCACTTTTAGTTGAGTCATTTTCTAATAAAGTATCTTTACTTTTACTCAAGTATGATAATTGGGTACTTTTCCACCATTGCCACATCCTGTCAGGATGCTTCAAACACGTCAACAGCCCCATGTTAAGATGTGTTAACATCATAACATTACGTTGATCTGTTAGGACATTCTTTCCTGACCTCTTTTTGACTTGATGCCCTTGACATTGTTTCCTTCAGATAGGGAAGGAGCATCTGGGGTTGAAGGCCATAACAGAAGTGCTGCAGGACCTACAATACAAGGTAAGATGTTGGCGTCCATTTTGTTGTCCAAGTGCTATTGTTATGGTGATGATGTTATGGTTATGAGTTGTCATGGTGATGAGAGGGCAGAGGTAATGAGAAATTACTGATATGACCTAAGGGGGTAGAAACCCAATGCTTAACTGAGAGCTAGAGGAAGACATACAGTACATAGACAATAAAACTAGGCAGTTAACAGAAAATCAGCAGAGGTGCAACGATTGGAGCATGCAGCAATTGATTCATTTATTTATTATTGATTTTTCAATTAATTAATTTTTCAATTAATGCTCCAGATTGATTTGAAACCATCTGAAACATTTAAGATTAGACAGGAGAAATGTTGATGCAGAATGTGAAGAAGGAGCTCCAGTAGTACAGATGATCTGCAATAATACAGTCATGACAAACATGGTGGCTAAATGAACAGCACATTACAAATGAAGCAAATCAACAAATATTTTAGTGTGTTGACCTATCTTTACAGGGGAAGACCAAGATAATACCGTGCTTCAATCCCAACACACTACTTCCTGGTGAGTCCTTCATCTAATTGTGTATGATTCCTGCTTGCATGCATGGTGTGACACAGTATTAGATGAAGATATGGTATGTGTTTGTTGCTCCCTCCAGATCCTCTCCTGAGAGACTACTGGGTGTATGAGGGCTCCCTGACCACCCCTCCATGTAGTGAGCGCGTCACCTGGATCCTGTACCGCTATCCACTCACCATCTCACAGTTACAGGTAGGCCATCTGACACATGGTCTGGTTCAATGAATCAATCAAATGTATTTTAGAAAGGCCATTTTACATCAGCAGTTGTCACAAAGTGCTTTACTGATACCCATCCTAAAACCCCAAAGATCAAGCATTGCAGATGCAGATGCAGATGCACAATGGCTAAGAAAAACTCCCTACCCTGCTGAAACCCCCCACTATAGAACAGCAGAAATTTTCAAGCTGGTCCATGATGGTTTATGCTGGTCAGTGCTTGTCTAATGCTGGTCAAGCTGGTCTGACCAGCTTGGTCTAGCTGGTTATGCCGGCCGAACAGAATGGTCTAGCTGGTCAAGCTGGTCTGACCAGCATGGTCTAGCTGGCAAAACCACACCCATAATTATCATTTATTTCCCAGCATGCTCTATTGAAGTTCGATATTTTTAATTGTTTGTTTCAATATCTGTGTTTTTGCATGTACATTGACTGATTAATTAATCTTATGCGACACAAAGATAAATAACATACATTTTTCTCAACTATTCCAATCTGAATTAGTAGTTGGACTTTTTGCACCTGCTACTGAAATGGTTGTTCCAGTTTAGATGGTTTAGGTAGTCTCATTTATTAATCTTTCTAACCTTGGCAGTCATTCTGAATTCAGATTGTGGGTGAATAAAAGTTCATAATGTGACTTCCAGGCCTGATGTGGCCACTGTATTAGGGAAAAACTAGGCCTTCATTTATGATATATGTAACTTTTTGGGTGACCCAACCAAATTCACATAGAAATGTGTGTTATAGAGATGTCATTCTCATTGAAAGCAAGTCTAAGAAGCGGTAGATCTGTGCTATGTGTGCGCTTGTCACGTTCGTTCATAGACGGGTCAGACCAAGGCGCAGCGTGATATGCATACATGTTTATTTTAAACTTAGTAAACAATGACAAAACAATAAACCAACGAAACGTGACGTCCAAAGGTAACACACAACAAACCTCACACGGAACAAGATCCCACAACTTAACGAGTGCCAATAGGCTGCCTAAGTATGATCCCCAATCAGAGACAACGAGTGACAGCTGCCTCTGATTGGGAACCACACCGGCCAACATAGATCTACACATACTAGAACATAAACATAGATATACACCACATAGAAAATCACACCCTGACTCAACAAATTAGAGTCCCCTGAGTCAGGGCGTGACAGTACCCCCCCCCAAAGGTGCGGACTCCGACCGCACAACCTTTACTTAACAGGGTAGGGGCCGGGTGGGCATTCCGCCTCGGAGGCAGATCCGGCTCCGGGCGTGACAACCACCTATTCTCCGCCTCCCTGTTGCGCCCCTGGTCTGGTCTAAACCTATGCGCGCTGCTTCCCCTCTCCTTCCTCCCACTATACTCCAAGCCCTGTCTGGACCCTGGTGTGGGAGACCCCGAACCTGGAGAGGGGCTGACGTCTGGGTCTGGACTGTAAAGTGGTTATCCCACTGGCTATAGGGTGAACGCACCAATTTGTGAGTCGCTCTGGCTAAGAGCGTCTGCTAAATGACGTTAATGTGCCCTTGAGCAAGGCACTTAACCCTAATTGCTCCTGTAAGTCGCTCTGGTTAAGAGCGTCTGCTAAATGACTAAAATGTAAATGTAAATGACTGGAGCCGCTGACCGGAGCTGGACCGGGCACCGGTGGAGCGGACTGCTCAGGCTACGGACTGGAGCCGCTGACCGGAGCTGGACTTGGCAACGGTGGAGCGGACTGCTCTGGCTCCGGAGTAGAGCCGCTGACCGGATCTGGACTGGACCCCGGTGGAGCGGACTGCTCTGGCTCCGGAGTGGAGCCGCTGACCGGAGCCGGATCAGGCACCGGTGGAGCGGACAGCTCTGGCTCCGGAGTGGAGCTTCTGACCAGAGCTGTATCAGGCACCGGCGGAGCGGACTGCTCTGGCTCCAGAGTGGAACAGCTGACCGGAGCTGGATCAGGCACCGGTGGAGCGGACTGCTCTGGCTCCGGAGTGGAGCCGCTGACCAGAGCTGTATCAGGCACCGGTGGAGCGGACTGCTCTGGCTCCGGAGTGGAGCAGCTGACCGGTGCCGATCCAGGCACCGGTGGAACGGGCACGGGCCGTGCCGGACTGGACAAACGCACCACTGGTCAGGTGCGAGGAGCAGGCACGGGCCGGACCGGACTGGCGACGCGCACCACTGGTTTGGTGTGAGGAACAGGAACAGGCCGGGCCGGGCTGGCGACGCGCACCACTGGCTTGGTGCGAGGAGCAGGAACAGGCCGGGCCGGGCTGGCCAAACGCACTACTGGTCTGGTGCGAGGAGCAGGCACGGGCAGGACCGGACTGGCGACGCGCACCACTGGTTTGGTGCGAGGAGCAGGAACAGGCCGGGCCGGGCTGGCGACGCGCACCACTGGCTTGGTGCGAGGCGCAGGAACAGGCCGGGCCGGGCTGGCGACGCGCACCACTGGCTTGGTGCGAGGAGCAGGAACAGGCCGGGCCGGGCTGGCAACGCGCACCACTGGCTAGGTGCGAGGAGCAGGAACAGGCCGGGCCGGGCTGGCGACGCGCACCACTGGCTTGGTGCGAGGAGCAGGAACAGGCCGGGCCGGGCTGGCGACGCGCACCACTGGCTTGGTGCGAGGAGGAGGAACAGGCCGGGCCGGGCTGGCGACGCGCACCACTGGCTTGGTGCGAGGAGCAGGAACAGGCCGGGCCGGGCTGGCGACGCGCACCACTGGCTTGGTGCGAGGAGCAGGAACAAGCCGGGCTGGCGACGCGCACCACTGGCTTGGTGCGAGGAGCAGGAACAGGCCGAGCCGGGCTGGCGACGCGCACCACTGGCTTGGTGCGAGGAGCAGGAACAGGCTGGGCCGAGCTGGCGACGCGCACCACTGGCTTGGTGCGAGGAGCAGGAACAGGCCGGGCCGGGCTGGCGACGCGCACCACTGGCTTGGTGCGAGGAGCAGGAACAGGCCGGGCTGGCAACGCGCACCACTGGCTTGGTGCGAGGAGCAGGAACAGGCCGGGCCGGGCTGGCGACGCGCACCACTGGCTTGGTGCGAGGAGCAGGAACAGGCCGGGCCGGGCTGGCGACGCGCACCACTGGCTTGGTGCGAGGAGCAGGAACGGGTCGGGTCGTACTGGGAACACGCACCACTGGCTTAGTGCGGGGAGCAGGAACGGGCCGGACCGGACTGGCGACACGCACCACTTGCTTGGTGCGAGGAGCGGGACTGGGTTCCTTTATTAACCCCCGCTCCTTCTGCTGCCTAACCAGCTCTTCTCGCCGTGCCTCTACACTTTCCTTCTCCCTTTTAGCCTCCTGTAGCGCCTCCCTCTGACCGAATAACTCCTGCTCCCTCTGAAGCAATAGCCCCCGTAACATGGTGGCCTCCTCTCCTAACCTGCAGATTCGCCCTTCCACGGCCTCCTGCTGCCTCGTCATCCACCCCGTATGCCCCCCCCAAACATTTTCTTGGGGTTGCCTCTCGGGTCTCCGTCGTCGGCACGGTTGGCGCCGTTTCTCCTCTCCTACCTGGGCATCAACCTTCATCGCCTCCCGATAACGGACGGCCTCCTCCTCAGTAATTCTCCCCCAACCGAGGAGGACATCTACTAAAGTTACCTCCCGTTGAATCCCCGGCGTTTGCTCCTTCTGGGCACGCTGCTTGGTCCTTGTTTGGTGGGATCTTCTGTCACGTTAGTTCATAGATGGGTCAGACCAAGGCGCAGCGTGATATGCATACATGTTTATTTTAAACTTAATAAACAACGACAAAACAATAAACCAACGAAATGTGACGGCCAAAGGTAACACACAACAAACCTCACACGGAACAAGATCCCACAACTTAACGAGTGCCAATAGGCTGCCTAAGTATGATCCCCAATCAGAGACAATGAGTGACAGTTGCCTCTGATTGGGAACCACACCGGCCAACATAGAACTACACATACTAGAACATAAACACAGATATACACAACATAGAAAATCACACCCTGACTCAACAAATAAGAGTCCCCTGAGGGCGTGACAGCGCTATTTCAATGCTTCCCGTTCTTAAGTTTAGTTTTTGCGTCTTTTACTTTCGGTTTTGTATACCAGCCTCAAACAGCTGAAAATACAATATTTTTGGTTATGAAAAATATATTTCACAGTAGATTAGATGGTACTATGATTATCTACACTATACTTGCTTGTTTTGTCACATAAACTGAAATTAGGAAAACTATTAGAATTTTAGCAACCAGGAAATGGCGGAGCGATTTCTTCATAGTGCATCTTTAAGCACTTTGATGCTTGTTTTGTTGGTGACCAGCATATGCTGGTACATATGATGGTATGCTGGTCATCAGCATATCAGCATCAAAGTGTCCAAAACACAATGAAGGCTGGTCACCAGCAAAACCAGCACTAGTCACCAGCATACGCTGGTCTATGCTGTTTACTTTCAGCAGGAACCTAGTAAGAAACCTAGAGAGAAACCAGGCTCCGAGAGGTGGCCAGTCCTTTTCTGGCTGTACCTGGGGTGGCAAGAGTATTTTTGGCCATTAAGGCCAGATCATTTTTCAAGACCTTCAAACATCCATAGATGACCAGCAGGGGCAAATAATAAAGAATTGTTCCATGTTGGTTTCTAGACCCTTGCCCCAGGTCCTACCCCTAGGTCTTATCCATTCACATAGCAATGGTGATGGCACCTCCTAGCACTCCAAGTGGCCATATTGCTTTTATACCAAATGTTATTCAAACCAGCTCCACTTCCATAGATCTTGAGGTTGCTCTAGCTACCTGCATTGAAGTGTGTGTTCTGCTAGAAGGTAAGATAAGGCGTTGTGATTGATTTGGCACTTATAGCCCCATATCTATGAACCAATGTCCCAACCTCTGATTCAACAGCATTGCACAATACAGTTTGTCCTCCCAGTCAGCACACTTTCTACAGAGGCTTTGATGCTGAGCAAGCCTTTCATATGCAGTCTGTTTAGGAACACCTTTAAACTTGTGATGTGATGGTAGATCATTGTTAAATGGAATATTCTATGTAGATTCTCTCATCTCCCAGCTGTAGCATTGTTTTATAACTGTTGACTATTGTTGGATCAGTTAACTAAAAGCACTATGAAAAGTACTACATTGTTCCTTATGGTTACCATCTAGTGAAGCCAGAACAAATAAAAAACCTTTTAGTGCATTTTATTGAGTCGTCAGTATTGATTGATTAATCTGATAATGATCGTTAATGGCTCTGTTTACGTAGACAGCTCTATGACATTCTACTGTTGTCAAGGCTTAGTTGGCTGTGCCTCATATAAAATCCTGTATTACTGAATCCATCTGTCTTGTTTGTTTTGGGTAAACACTATCCTCCTGTATTGGCGCAGTCTGACCGTCTAACCAGATAACTGTTAGCTCAGGGCAAGGTGTCCAGTCCAGTACCCAATGGAAATGTTAACAGAGAATGTCTGTCATTTTACTGCTACACATACAAGACCAGACTCACCTGGAAAGAGGTCTGTAAAATAGACCAGGAAGAAATTAGGCCTAACTCTTAGCCTAAGCATACAGTAGAATGCAAACATGTACAGCACACTGAAAACACTAAATAAGATAAGATATACTTTATTAGTCAACACAAGATGGAAATTTGTCTTGTGCTTTTATCCAACCAGTACCCCCCCACAACATTAGGTTTGAAAGGCTGGAGCAGACGGCAGCCGCAGTGTAGCTAGACAGAACACTTATCGAAACTAGACGGAATACTTCTCTTAATTCATCTACCACCACTCTTTCCCTTCTACATAACTTCTCTCTCTCTCTCCCTTCCTCCATTTCCCTCATCTCATCACTCTCTCTCTTACTCCCTCTCATCCCTCTCTCTCCTCCTCCTCCTCCTCCTCCTCCTCTTCATCATCTCTCCCAGATAGAGGAGTTCAGGAGGCTCAGGTCCCACCTGAAAGGTGCTGATCTACCTGAGGGGAACGACGGGATGTTGGGAGACAACTTCCGCCCCACTCAGCCCCTCAGCGACAGGACCGTCCGGGCTGCCTTTCAGTGACACCCCCCTTCCCCCATCCATCTTCCATGGGGGATCTTTAGCTCCATGTTTAACAGGTAAAGGTCAACCATGTAAATACCAAGTACATGGTTTTTAAATACACTACATGACCAAAGGTATGTGAACACCGGCTCATCGAAAACATCTCATTCCAAAATCATGGGCATTAATATGGAGTTGCTCCCCCCTTTGCTGCTATAACAGCCTCCACTCTTCTGGGAAGGCTTTCCACTAGATGTTAGAACATTGCTGCGGGGACCTGCTTACATTCAGAATGGCTCTTCAGTAAGGCCATTCTACTGCCAATGTTTGTCTATGGAGATTGCATGGCTGTGTGCTTATTTTATACACCAAATCCACTAATTTGAAGGGGTGCCCACATACTTTTGTATATATAGTGTACTTTATATGTGTATAGATATTTTCAAAAGTGTTCTTGACATCTGTGTGACTACTAGATACCATCGCTCTTCACAACCACAAACCAGGTTCAAACCTGTGAGTTTGACCTCCTTCCTCTTATACAGTGCCTTGCAAAAGTATTCATTCCCCTTGGCATTTTTCCTAATTGGTTGCATTACAACCTGTAATTTAAATTGATTTTTATTTTGATTTCATATAATGGACATACACAAAATTGTCCAAATTGGTGAAGTGAAATAAAAAAAAGTACTTGTTTCAAAATATTCTAAAAAATAAATAATGGAGAAGTGGTGCGTGCATATGTATTCACCCCCTTTGCTATGAAGCCCCTAAATAAGATCTGGTGCAACCAATTACCTTCAGAAGTCACATAATTAGTTAAATAAAGTCCACCTGTGTGCAATCTAAGTGTCACATGATCTGTCACATGATCTCAGTATATATACACCTGTTCTGAACGGCCCCAGAGTCTGCAACACCACTAAGCAAGGTGCACCACCAAGCAAGTGGCACCATAAAGACCATGGAGCTCTCCAAACAGGTCAGGGACAAAGTTGTGGAGTACAGATCAGGTTTGGGTTATAAAAAAATATCTGAAACTTTGAACATCCCACGGAGCACCATTAAATCCATTATTAAAAAATTGAAAGAAAATGGCACCACAACAAACTTGCCAAGAGAGGGCCGCCCACCAAAACTCACGGACCAGGCAAGGAGGGCATTAATCAGAGAAGCAACAAAGAGACCAAAGATAACCCTGAAGGAGCTGCAAAGCTCCACAGCGGAGATTGGAGTGTCTGTCCATAGGACCACTTTAAGCCGTACACTCCACAGAGCTGGGCTTTACAGAAGAGTGGCCAGAAAAAAGCCATTGCTTAAAGAAAAAAATAAGCAAACATGTTTGGTGTTCGCCAAAAGGCATGTGGGAGACTCCCCAAACATTTGGAAGAAGGTACTCTGGTCAGATGAGACTAAAATATAGCTTTTTGGCCATCAAGGAAAACGTTATGTCTGGCGCAAACCCAACACCTCTCATCACCCCGAGAACACCATCCCCACAGTGAAGCATGGTGGTGGCAGCATCATGCTGTGGGGATGTTTTTCATTGGCAGGGACTGGGAAACTGGTCAGAATTGATGGAATGATGGATGGTGCTAAATATAGGGAAATTATTGAGGGAAACCTGTTTCAGTCTTCCAGAGATTTGAGACTGGGACGGAGGTTCTCCTTCCAGCAGGACAATGACCTTAAGCATACTGCGAAAGCAACACTTGAGTGGTTTAAGGGGAAACATTTAAATGTCTTGGAATGGCCTTGTCAAAGCCCAGACCTCAATCCAATTGAGAATCTGTGGTATGACTTAAAGATTGCTGTACACCAGCGGATCCCATCCAACTTGAAGGAGCTGGAGCAGTTTTGCCTTGAAGAATGGGCAAATATCCCAGTGGCTAGATGTGCCAAGCTTATAGAGACATACCCCAAGAGACTTGCAGCTGTAATTGCTGCAAAAGGTGGCTCTACAAAGTATTGACTTTATGCACGCTCAAGTTTTCTGTTTTTTTGTCTTATTTCTTGTTTGTTTCACAAGAAAAAATATTTTGCATCTTCAAAGTGGTAGGCATGTTGTGTAAATCAAATGATAAAACCCCCCCAAAAATCTATTTTAATTCCAGGTTGTAAGGCAACAAAATAGGAAAAATGCCAAGGGGGGTGAATACTTTCGCAAGCCACTGTACATATTCAGAGTGTTACTTTAGCACAAGTTCATTACATTTACGTGTATAAGACGCCACTTGTTGTTTTACCAAATATTGACTACAGACTGTATGTTCCTCTATAACAAGGGCTGAAGGAAACTAATTTATACCACAGCAACACAAAGAGCCAAGTATCAAATTAAATCGGGGTTATGTTGTCATGCCCTGGAAGTCACAGTTTAATGGAAATAGGCCAGGCATTTCCCAGAGGTAAAATAATAATGGCACCACTCAACACTGGATCAGTGTCAGAGCTATAGTAATAATGAGCTAACCCAGTTCTTCTACTAATCTAGGACTAGCTATGGTGTTGTGTGTGGAGCGGAGGGATATCTATTTTAGAGCTTGCGTTGGGAACACATGGGATAGTGGAAAATAACTCATTTTGAGTGGATGGATTTGGATGTGCTCAACCGAGGGCACAGGGACAAAGTGTGGCTCGGCCTCTACTGCATGTGAAAGAACATGACTGTATCAGAGAGCCAAGAGACACTTGTTTGGTAGTTTGACATATGTTTTAGTAGCTATTAGCTTAGTATAACAAACTGTATGGAAATGGTTGTATAATAGTTGAGTAAAAGTAAAGATACCTTAATAGAAAATGACTCAAGTAAAAGTGAAAGTCATCTAGGAAAATACTACTTGAGTAAAAGTCTAAAAGTATCTGGTTTTAAATGTACTTAAGTACAGTGGTGGAAAAAGTACTCAATTGTCATACTTGAGTAAAAGTAAAAAGTTAAAGTAAATGCTATACATCAAATTCCTTATATTAAGCAAACCAGATGGCACGATTTTCTTGTTCTTGTTAATTTACGGACAGACAGGGCACACTCCAAAACTCAGACATCATTTACAAACACAGTATTTGTGTTTAGTGAGTCCGCCAGATCAGAGGCTGTAGGGATGACAACACGTTATGTTGATATGTGCATGATTTGGGCCATATTGCTGTCCTGCCTGATAAAAAAATATAATAATGTAACGAGTACTTTTGGGTGTCAGGTAAAATGTATGGGAGTAAAAAGTAGATATTTTCTTCAGGAATGTAGTGGTGTAAAAGTAAAAGTAATCAAAAATATACATAGTAAAGTGAAGTACGGATACTCCAAAAAAACGATTTAAGTAGTACTTTAAAGTATTTATACTTAAGTACTTTACACCACTGGGAAACAGTGTAGCTACAGAGAGAAATGTGGGAGAGATAGTAGAGCATTGTCTCTTTGGTAAGGGATATGACCTGACCATACCTGAGAGGGGCCAGGAAAAGGGTGAATAGTGGAGGAAGAAGGAGGGATAGAGGAAGGGGGTTCTGAAGGGGACCTGACTGTTGACTCAAATTGCACAATTCAGCAATACCTTAAACTACATTACTAAACTATTACTGATTTAATCATAAGGGAAAATGCATGTAATTACATTGTAACACATTTGTAAATGCAGGTAGTTAAATGGGTCTGCCAATTGTCAATTCTGTTTACCATGGAAATACAAAAAGGTGGTCAGTACTGCATAATTGCATGCACTAACTTAGCTTGTTACAATTACATCATATATATTGTGTAAGTGATTTTATCTATTGTTTTTGTATAGACCATTTATTTCATTTTTTGCATATTTAAATCAAAACAACCATACAGTATATCAAACTATACACACACCCAATGGGCCACAACAAATAAAATACAAAAAAGAATAACCAACTAGACAAACCAACATATTAAACAAAAACACAAATACACTAACAAAATACATAGGGAGAGTTTTTTTCTTCTGATAAATGATATTTTGTGGCCATGATATTCCTTTGTGCCTTTAAGGAAAAACAAGAACCGTTCCCATATCTTTTTGGAGTCATTTACGTTTGAGTCATTTAGCAGACACTCTTACACAGAGCGACTAGGGTTAAGTGCCTTGCTCAAGGCCACATCAACAGTTTTTTCCCCACCTAGTCGGCTTGGTTACTGGCCCAACGCTCTTAACCGCTAGGCTACCTGCCGCAATGTTGTTTTTATCAACAGATTTGAAATGTTATTGACCCAGTAAGTACTCTGGTATAAGGATTTATAAGGATTGTGTGACATAAAGTGCGTAAAATGTCATATTTCTAGCTCTGTAACCATCATAGAGCATACACAGAAAACAGGGTAATAGTTTGTGGATTTAAAAGTGGAAAATCGTACATCATAACATTGCACAATGTCAAACAACTCTAACACAAAACAAGGGACTTATAAAAGAACACTTTGCTCCTCTACCCGCCACCTCTGTCCAAACCCAGTCTTGGGGGTGACATTATTGCTGGAATGTTCCAACATCTGCTAAATATTCCCTTTTTTTATTTTCATAGTGAGAAAGAGAGAGTGAAACGAGAGAAGGAGAGAAAGGAGGGGAGAGGGAGAAATGGCCTTTCTGAATCGGCTGGATGGCTGGAAGTTATGTTACATTGGATCACCTGGACTGGTAGCTACAGATTGTAACACCAGATTTGGACCATTATACTGGTCGTTACAGGTGTGGCTATACAAAACGTTGCCAGAGATTTTTCAACTAACCTGGTATTGGCGATACTATATTTGTCCTCGATTAGTGGAAACAGGAGTGTCATAGAATATCCGTGCCCAGTTGCAGGGGATCCGTTTGAATTTAGAAAATGCTCTGTTATTAAAATAAATATATGTTTTGGTCCATGAAGTAATCCAACAATGTGTACACCACCATCTTGTCTTTTTCAAATCTTCTCTCATTTATTGAGACAGGGGGGTCCACCAAAGTGCCACGTGCCAGGATGACAAATACATGTCTCGATCAATGAGAGAAGATTTTTAAAAAATAACAAGATGGCGGCGTACACATTGTCGCCAATACCAGGTTAGTTAAAAAATCTCTGCCGACGTTTTGTATAGCCACACCTGTAACTACCAGTATAATTGTCCACATTTCTGGGGTTAAATCACATTATCTGGTGTTACAATTTGTAGCTACTGGACTTGGATGGAGCTCACAAAGGCACAATTTTACTCTGTGTGTTGATGAAGGCAGCGCTGACAGACCAACCAGCTGGCTTCACCTGTGACCTGGAACATAGCCATTTGCTGTTGGCTGGGCCAAGATGGATCCATGCTCTGGAAGGAGAGACATGATTGGCTCTGATCCAATATCCATATTATCACTAGTATACTATAGATGGAAGCGCTGGATTGGGCACGCATTCTTAGTGGTGTGATACTGGGGTTATTGGTGGAATGTAGTCCTTGTGATAGGATTTGTGTAGGCTACATACCGGTATGCATACTTAGCTTGGGGCATGTAATTCTGTACTGTCCGCATTCCATAATATGTGTACGAGGCATAGTCATGCAGGTTGTAGTTTGTGTAATAAGATGAAAAATGTGAATGAACTAACACCTGTCCCTAGGGATTTTCAAAATATGGAAAATAAATGTACAGCACATTACTTTAAAAAATATGTATGATAATAATGCTGTTAAAACCGTACTGTCTCTCAGAATAGGAAATACACTAACAAGCAGAAATATAATATACATGGGCTGGTCAGGTTTAATGACCTCAGGTCAGATTTAATGACCTCAGGTCAGGTTTAATGACCTCAGGTCAGGTTTAATGACCTCAGGTCAGGTTTAATGACCTCAGGTCAGGTTTAATGCTGTATAATCTCAGATGTCTCATAGGCTGATATTTGTTGAGATATTTCCGTCAGCTTCTGGCTCCTGTCCTCGCAGTATTAAAAGTAGTGTTTTTGTGCTTTTCGATATCTGCTTATTTAGCAATAGGAAGCATGACATTAGACGGTTAGACCACAGTGTGCCCTTTCTTGTAAAAACAAAGGAAACATTCATCAAAGGTAAATCACCTTTAAGGGCTCCAGACACACAGTACAGCACAGGGTTATAGGCTATGAAAAAAGACTTGAATTTTCTTGTGATATTTTTAGACGTTTTAAGGTATGTAGTTCTTGTACTGACTGTAATGTGATGATGATGATAACGATTACTCTAACTGTAACTTAACAATAAAGGTAAAATTGTTATTAGTAACACATTAGTCACTGGTTGTTATTTCAACTATCTAACTAGTTCCATGGCCTATTCAACTTACCATTACACCACTGAAAAAGATCACTACCATTTAATATGGGTAGGTATATGATTAACTTGATTTTAAATTGAATTTTCATTACATATGACCAAAATTGTAGACTTTTCCAGACTCTGCCACATTATACCATGTATACAATAGGCCCTACTGTACTAGTGTCTGTCTCCAGCATTTCCCTGAGGAAGCAACCAAACTGGATCGGTGAGAAAAGAGCCAGTTAATGACATACACACCTACAGCTGGAGGCTATGTTTACACCAGGATGTGCTCGTTACACGGGCCATAATGGATAAAGTCAGGCTATCACACCCACCTATCTAATACACAGCTAATCTGCCCACAGGGAGCTCTCATCTCACAGTGCAACAGTACAACAGAGACCCACCCATATTATTAGTATAAGCCATAAACATACTGGAATACAATACAGGGGACTGCGAGTTGTGCCAGGAGTTTTTCCTGGCAATGTGACCTGGGCCAGGAGATTTTCATGGCCAAGAATAACTACAATCATGTCCAGCTGTTTTGTGGCCTTGAAGAGAGGAGGAGACTGGAATCACTGTAAAGAAATACAAAATATGAATCAACATTTTGGGGTTATTCATAAAAAGGAAAATGACATTTACATATTTTTAACCTGTCATTAAAATTATTTACATAATTACTACATAGTTATAAGAGCAACTTAATATAAAGTGTGATGGGTTTCAGCAGGAAACCACATACAGCGGCACTATGCTGTAGCGTCTATGGTAGGAATGTGAATGAGACCAAACAGGTCTTACAGTGCCCTCCTCTGTCTGAATGACTAATGCCAGCATAGAAACACAGGCACTTCAACTGTCAGAGAAAATACACTGCACCTCATATGATGCCTCATACACTGAAAATGACTACTATAGCACTGGAGAAAACATGACACCTGAAAGGTCACTGTTAAAGGGGGTCACATGACTGTAGCTAGACATAATTGTACTAACATAGGCTAGTTGGGTGAGTCACAGTGCAAAGACATGTAAATGACCCAAATGTACTATCATGACTTTATCTCTTGCACAATCCTCTGTTTTTGTGATATTTCCTATCTATTGGTTAAACTAGCTTGAGATTTAAGCTTTAATTATTTAGAAAGCATGGAGTTAGATTTGTGCATGCATCATTCACAGCAAATGCCTCCCTAGTTTCTTTAACTGAGTTGCAGTTATTCAGTGAAACAGCAGGGGACACTCTAATCCAACGCTGTGAGAACCTGGTCTGGACTAAAGTGGTACAGAGAGGGAGCGGCAGGGAGAGAGAGAGGTAACGGGGAATGTTCCGGGCCACAGGGCATCTAACTGTTTGATCAGGCTTGGCCTTTCACGGACCGAGAGAGAATATCAGCGATGACGGAACATCTCGTCTGACATTTATATTATTCCGTTTCCATAACTCTCGCAGAGGAGGGAGGATAGAAAAGCTATTCTATGATCAAGAGCACTGAAAGAGACTGAGAGAGGAGAAGAGACACAGAGGGAAAAGAGAGTGAACCGAAATGGAGCCTGACTGTTATAAAATGTGCAAATGTCTATTGTCCTCGTCCTTTGATTTTTACCAAGTTGGAGTGAAGCAGCGTGAAATGGATCCTATTCAGATAACATTGTATAGTACATTTCACTTTCCCATCAGTAGTTGCTCTCTCACTGTCAGGGAAAAAGGTATTCTGGTTCTAAATTGTACAGTAGTTGCAGCCACATTTAAATACCAACTACTCCCAAAGTCCTGTCCAGATTCATGGTAGAAAGAAACAGAAATGTACTGATGCAGTACATCATGGTCAATATGAGAGATAAAAGATAAGACCGATGTATTTTGACCTGCAGATGTGGTATCTTAATTTGATCACTCTTTTGTTGCTGAGAATTTTCCTGTACGGCAGGAAATGCAAACTTGCAGTGTATTTGAGTTTTTAAAAGACTTCTAAAGTTTGAAATTTCCACTTTGAAATTTCAGACTTGATTGATTTGCCCTAACAAAAATGTATCAACACCTACAAAAATATCCATTAATTATAATCCACATAATAATTCACATTTCCTGTTGCTGCGGGATTATTTTCCTGCTGTAGCAAACTGGCTCACATTAAGATCCTACATCTGTATAAATATATCCCTTCCCTTCCAGAGTAAAAGAGAAAGGCACAAACTAAAACCTAAAGCTGAACCATAGAATCCTCCACATCCTCCCAGTTGTCCACCTCAGCATTCTCTCACGGCGTCTAATAGATTTATCTCATAGCAGGAGATGATGTTTGACACAGATGTACTGACCATAGCTTAGCGATGGGCTCTTCTGTTGTTATGCGTCCATTCAAAGGTTTATTGATGTCCCTCCTAACGTGACCCTTTTGACTTGAGCCATTCGGACAATAGAGCCAGAAGCCCAAACAGATGGGCAGGATTCTACACACAGAGGAGGAGAGGCTGACCTTAGTAAGCTATAAGCTATAGCTGCCATAACGTTACTCTAACGTTATTCTGTACCCAGTCATTCACATCACAGCAAACCTTAACATCATATTATGCAAAATGCATAATACCGGCTTTATTTCTGTTATATATCTTGAAAACCTGATTGCTGACAAGCAAAACATTTTGGGACTATGTCAACAATGGACTAATGAAACAAATACCAAAATAAGAGTTTTCCTTTAACTAAGGGTGGTAATGACAGTGTAATGACAGGTACTCTGTGAGGGGGTGAATTAGTGTAGATATCTATAGGTATCTAAGAGATTGGTAATAGCTGCTAGACTGTGGGTGTGTTTTTCTGAGTTTGTGGTCTCAGTGGGTATTCATGACTGAACTGGTTGTGTGTGTGTGTGTGTGTGTGTCTGTTTGTGTGTATGTGTGTGTGTGTGTACATGTGTGCGTGCATTACCTGAGCACATACCCCAAGTATCTGTGAGGAGGGTACTGACCCCACCATTCCCCTGTACACCAGTGTTTCACTATACTTGTACACTCTAAAGATTAGCGGTTCAATAATAATAATAATATAATAATATGCCATTTAGCAGACGCTTTTATCCAAAGCGACTTACAGTCATGCGTGCATACATTTTTTTTGTGTATGGGTGGTCCCGGGGATCGAACCCACTACCTTGGCGTTACAAGCGCCGTGCTCTACCAGCTGAGCTACAGAGGACCACGAGGGTTCTTCTAAGATCCTCAAAGTTCTTCGAAGAACCTTAGGGTTCTTGGCACTGAAAATTGCCCACAAAAGGTTCTTCCAAGAACCCCATAGGAGGTGGGGTTCATCGAGGGACCTCATTAGTTGGTGGGGGTTCTTGCAGGAACCTAACTGCCCAACTGAAACATTTGGATTTACATTTGAAAGGACAGCAGGTGCAGGCACTTAACTGAAAAATGTGAAGATCTCCTCAATTTAAGGTAAGGTTTGTCCCTTGTATGATCTAAATTGATATTGTTTTATGATGATACCATCTATCTTTTCATATTTGTGCAAATCTAAAACAGAAAAACAGAAAATGGACACAATTCAATGGATATCAATCAACAAAGAGTTAAGAATATGTATGCTATAAGAATATGTTGCAGGCTAGCTGTATTGGGTGCAGATGACTGAACTGCTCACTTTTGTGTCTGTGTCTGCAGGTTTACAGATGAGGAGGCATACAAAGGTATGTCAGTTGGTATTGGTATGTTATGCAGATCACATTTACCATTCTCCTCCCTTACCTCTACAATGAATATCCCATAGGCCTCCACATTATGGACAAGGTATGTGTATGAAAACCATTATCAAAACAGTTTTTTTATTCACATTTACCACAAAAACCAAGGCATGAATACTGTCGTGTGCATGTTTTGTTAATCATCTATATAATTACTATTCACCCTCCCTACACCTCTGATGAATATATCAGGAAACCTGTTCGATCACCATGCACTGCAAAATCATTCTGGCTATGGATACGGAGAACATCAACACATTAACATCAACATGCCAGAGGATATACCCATTGGACTTGGAGCTCTGCTGGGAGTTTACCTCATAGTGGGCCATTCCTGGGGTGCAGCGGAGCATCGTATGGACAGATTGGAGCTGTGTGATTGTGTGAGGGCAGGGACCCAGAAAATGGACGGTTATTGAGCCCATGCTATGGGGAGGGGTCAGCAGTACAATGTCCCATTCAAACCCTGGATGTTGCACAAGTATACCCATGGATACTGATGGATACTGATGGTGAAACAAAAAATGCGAAGAGATTTGATAAAAATACAAAATTCACTTCCTGGTGTGAGACTGAGAAATTTGTGTTTGGGTGTGAGTGAGGGCACAGATCAGTTCATCTTTAACAGTGTCATAATCCATTTGTGTAAAGACTAATCTCTCATGGAAAACTACGTAACATAAAAGACCTTAGACTTGTAAGAAATTATGTCTATTCATGATGCA